GAAGTCCACCCGTCTTAAAGTTGCCCAGTTTGAAAAAACACTGGCGCAGATGTTCTAAACACCATCTAAAAGCTTCCAGGTCCCTTTAGTTTTAGAGCATAACCAAAGAAGCAAGATTCACACATCCATTCTGGAAGGATCTGTAAAGTCCAGAAATAGGGGGTAGAGTACAGAAATTTGAAAACTGGGATAGGAATCCTCCAGCCCCCTGCACTGGCACATCCATCAAGGTGGATCTCTTTGGGGCTTTAAAATCTCTTCCCTGGAACGTTTGCAGGCCGGAGTACAAATCTGCTTATTCCATAAGCCAAGGAACAGGATCTCCCATCTGCTGATTGTTCGGGTTTAGAGATCCCCCTCTTTCTTTCTTACTCTCGACACTATCTCTTGTTCAGTGTGGTTACCCCCACATTTTACTGCAAAAAGGAATCAAAGTCATTGCACATGTTATCTTCAACTTATGAAGGAGGCACCCCCAATACATTCCAATCTGTAATCTTTTTTTATGTAATATCTTTATTTTCAATCAATCTTTAATCTTACAAAAAAAATCCTTAAAAATTAAAAATATAAAGATACAAACTAAAAAGGGAAAAAAACCTATTTTATATTTTGTGTAATCTTACTCTATCTCTCCCCCCACTCTTCCCCAGTCTCCGACACACTTAACGGTATTATAGGAAAAGAAAACTTTATATCATCCAACTTGAGTCAATATTTGGCTGCTCCTGATACCTCCTATGATACTACAGGACAACTCAGAGATTTGGTGACAATGACCAGAGGAGGCAGGAAAGTGTGCATCAGTTTCAACATTCCCCTAACTCTCAACTCAACCAACAGCGAAAACACGGTTTTCGCCATCAAGGATGCCAAGAAAGGCATCCGTGTGCTTGCAGGAACCCCCAAGTTGCAGAGTCATCCCCAAAGATTTATTTTTTTAAAAAGGCAAAACTCAGCCCCATCATCGCCCTGAAAAATGCAGTCCAAAGAAAACTTAAAAGAGTTTCTTTACACTTTTACCTAATGGTCCAATTATACATGAGTGTGTTATATGCCCGCATGTGTTGTAAGTCCTTCTGTGAATAAGTTGTTTTGAAAAGTTACCTAACCAGAAACAAAGGGACCCGCGTGTGCCTCCAATTGCAAAATCCAGGGGGGTATAATTCAGGGACGAGAGCCATCTGGTTGGCATTGCAGACAAGCCTTTCCCTGCTGAAACGTCTCTTGCACGACCCCCTCGTGTTTTGTAACCCCAAATTCAAAGCAATTTGACCTTTTCCTTATTTCTTTTGCGTCCCAAACGGAGCACTGCTCTACCCCACCCCCGGCCCCATCCTCCTCACTCACCAGCGTCTTATAGTCAATCTGCTGCCGGATGAGCTTGTCTTCGCTTAAGGAATAGCGGGCTTCCCCCGTGATGGCATCAATGGGGCCCTTCTCCATCTGCTGCTTGATGGCACAGAACAGGGAAAAGAGAGGCTCGCCAGCGCATTCCTGCAGCAAGGAAAAAAGGTGATGAGGCCAAGACTGGGGGGAAAGCGGCTGATTATTTTCTTCCCGCAGAGCGGGCCAGCAGCCCTTTTCTGGGGACTATTAGCTTGAAGCACTCCCTCGGAGAAGAGTGTAGGGTTCTAGAGTTGGAAGAGACCCTTGAGGGCATGAAGACCAACCCCTTGCTCAGTCCAGGAATGCAAAGGAAAGCCTCCCGAACTGGTGACCGTCTATCCTCTGGTTCAACGCATCCCAAGAAGGCGAGCCCAGGGTCAAACTGCTCATATTTTCATGACTTTTCCCCCTAACATTCAATCCGAATCTACTTTCCTGCAAGGTAAATCCATTAGGTCTCTGGAAAGATGGAGAACAAGTCTTGATCTTTTCCTGCTTCATATCCTTTGGGGGATCAACACATAGAGGGTTGGAGTGGGCACTATATTAAATCATCATCATCAACAGGTGGATACAAATGCCAAATCCAGTCTAAACATCTGGCTGGCTGTGCGACCAACCATAAAATAATAATAAGACCATCGGCACTGGCAAAATCACCGTCAGTCAAGTGCAAAAGGCAGCTTTGCTTGGAAGAGCTTCCATCCTGTGACGATACCTTGAACCCCATCAGACAACAACATCTGCCCATCCCAGGTCCTTGGAAAGGCCTCGACAGGTGGACAGAAATGCCAAATCCAGTCCAAACATCTGGCTGACTGTGCGACCAACCATAATAATAATAATAATACTTGAAGAGTGCATTATACGCCTCCTCACTAGCCCTTTCTCAAAACTAAACAGGCCCAGTTCACAGAGGTGTCCATAGAGAAGTGCAGTTGACAACACAAGCATTGCGCTGTTGGGGATTCAAGCTCTGCCATTTTGTACAGGCATCGTGACACTCCACGTCCACACAAAAGGGGCGGCTCTTGACTTGGGACATCATTTGGGGGAAATCATTGGACTCTGCAGACGCCTCTGCCAACCTTAAACATAGCATCTTAAAGTTGCTATGTTTGAACAACACTGCTCTAAATTGTTTTCAAGAGGTGGAACCCAGAACTGGATATTGTTTGCAAGACGGGGAGTGATCAAAGCAGAGCAGAGCAGAACAAATACTTCCTATGATTAGAACATTATACATTTCTTGATGCAGTTTACAATTGTATTTGCCTGTTTTGCAGCTGCATCATGCTGCTGGCTCATAATCCTTTGCGGTGGACCAAATTCCAAGATATTTTTTCTAAATATAATTGCCACACTTGTATTTCCCCAGCCTAGAACTGTACATTTGATTTTTGTTTCTTTAGAAGCGTTTGCCAGGAGGTGCAAGGCAAGAAGGGCAAATGAAGACAGCATTTGTCACGTCATCAACTCTGCTGCTTTGGTGCATGCAACGTGACCTCGCAAGCATGCCCCAAAGGAGCAGAGCTTGCATGGCAACATGGTGATGCTGCTTTCATGCTTTTGAGAAAAGCTGCCAACATCTCGGTTCCTAAGCGAAGGACTCTGCACGTGCCTCAGTTAAATTTGCTTCCTTTCAGTCTATTTCTCCAACCTATTAAGATTGTTTGAATTTAACAGGCATACCAGCCAAGAGTAAATTCCCACTGGAAGGTGAAAGGGGACTACCCAGGAGACTGTAACACAGAAAATTGCTGACTGCCACCAACTTCTCAGAGCATGCTCCTGCCACTCTGTAGAACTTGTTTAGTGACATTTTTCCATAATAGGCACGGACACTTTGAGAGATGAACCCTAACTTGGTATCGGCATAAAGCCCAGACTTATGGCTCAAAACACAGCACATAAATGATGCCATTTATCATAGCATTAGTTGTTTCACACAAGAACCCAGTTGGGGCATTCATGACAGGTAGTCCTCGTTTAGTGACCATACTTGGGAACAGCAACGCGATCGTTAAGTGACGTGGTTGCTAAGTGAAACTGCGACTGTGCTTACAATCTGACTTCAGCTTTCCTTTGCTTTACAGACCTATGAAGCAATGGAGGCGAATATGTGTAGCTCAGGGTCGAACTGTGGAGTCCTTGGGGTTCTCTGAGCTTGGT